TTTTGTCACATCTTCTTTAATCTTCAATTCACCATTAGCAATCCATTTTGGTACTTTCGAATAAAAGTCTCTATTAAAATTCTCATCTTTTGTTTGATCAAAAATAATAAAACCTTGAAGCTTTAGTCGTTTACGAACAACCAAGATAAGATTACGAATTCCGACATCACTTGATTTATGAAATTGTGAAATCATACCACATTCAATAAAACGAGCATGATCAGCAGCAGCAGCAATAGCTGCTTCAAGTTGTTCACCACCAACATTATCAAAATAAATATTCAACGGATCAAATTTAGCAAGTTCTGCTCTTACATTAGCTGTATTATAATTAAATGCATGATCAAAAGAAAGTTCTTTTTTAAGCCAATGTACTTTCTCATCTGTACCAGCTGATCCAATCACTTTAAGACCTTCACGTTTAGCTAAAAACAAGAAAAAAAAAACAAAGAACAAGTTCAAGATGAATGAGAATTATATTTCATTGAAGGAAAGATGAATAGTATTTTGCTATACTATCTAATTAAAACTATACTCAATAAATGATATACTATCTTTTTCTTGTACATAAGTATCTGAATTGTACAAAAAAATTATTTCGAAAAACAAAAACTTATTTGTTTTGATAGAATCAGTAGTAACAGAAATAATAAATGCAGAAAGATATTGACATACCGAGTTGTCCAACAATTTGACCAACGGCTCCAGAAGCTCCAGTAATAAAAATTGTTTCACCTTTTTTCGGTTCACCAATGTGATAGAAACCATAGAAAGCTGTTTGTCCTGGCATCCCAGCAGCTCCTACCCATGTTGTTAACGATAAACCAAGTTTGAGTTGTTCATCACTCAAAATATGAAGTGATTCAGCTTGATTTTTTGAATGAACTGTGTATTCTTCATATGCTCCTTGTCCATATACAACTTGACCAACTTTATATTTATTATTATCTGATTTAACAATTTTACCTACGAAGAAATTTGTCAATGGTTGATTGAGTTCAAATGCTTCTATATAACTTGTTGTTCCAGCGCGTCTCATACGTCCTCTCATATATGGATCAATGGATATGGCAAGATTTTTTGTTACAATACCATCTTGTGTATTAACAGAATTTATGTCGATTGTTCGATTTTTAACGTATTTAATATGTTTTCCGGCTTCAGGATAGCCAGATGGAACTTCAGCAAAAATAACAGCACCATTTTGAACAGAAGAAACACTTTTGCTTGATAAATTTTTTATACTTTGTCGAAAAAGTATATGAAAATTCGTTAGACAAAATGCTTCATTTTTACATATAATCGATATCGTTCGTCTTGATGCACATGCAGCATGAAATGACAAAAAGAGCTTTTTCGTCGCATACATCATCATGAATGTGTAGAAGTAAAGAAATAAAACGTTCACGTTAAAATATTCTAGATTAGATACGATCAAATCGAGAAGTCCATCTTCACTGTGAAGCTACTGTAAACGCGAATCATATGGGTCCATTTCATCAAGCAATGAAAATCTAGTATATGCGTTACTAGCGATGTCCACAAATTACCATCTAGATTTCCTTACGCGATGATTAGCACCAGAATAAAAGAGATATGAGAATAAAACAAATATCTTGCGAACGGAAGTAGGAAATGATCAGCGAATCGAAGTAATCGAAAGGGAAAATATTACGAAGTCGTTTTCTCGAATTATACATAAGATCAAGTCATTTTAGAAGTGGTCATGTTCGCTGAACATTCAATGAACTGCAAAAAATTGAGGATATCGATTTGGATATTGAACTTAGATAGAAATACTTTGGATCTGTAGTTCAAGAAATAATTCCAATGATTATTTATTCTAGTTGTATTAGAGGTGATGAAATATTAATGAACCACTCAATTTCAGTTTCTATGTGATTTGAAAATTTTTTGTACAAAGTTCAATTTATCAGACTACTCATTTGCATTAGGCGAGTCCTCTTCTTTTGTGATTCGTCAGAAATTCTCAATATGCTGAAAAACTTTGAATTATTAGTAAATAGCCACGGGTATTCAAAGTGTTTTCTCTGTCCTTAGCTTCTGACAATATGTCACACGAAAAAAATACATATAGGATTCGATAGCTTTAGGATTGATTGTTAATGAAAACAATTAGTGTCAATTAATAGTTCGTTGAATGAATTATGCGTCAGGTGCTGCATTGTTGACGCTCGGATAACTGAATCGAGGCTCTCTAAAGAAGAAATCTTTAAAGGTTTATAGCATTTCATTCAAAGACGAATTCTCCTAGGTAACTTTATAATTTCTAGATATTTGTCAGCTTTTTTGGATTCATTATTTCTCAGTTGTCATGAGCAGCCATATTCATTGCTTTATTCTTTAGTGTTTTTCATTTTGCATATTTATCCTTTTACCAACTTGAAGTAATCAAATTTCCTCAAGTCCTGGTAATGATTTGATATCTTTTGTTAGATTCACATTCATTAAATTATTCTTTAAACTTTTCTACAGTACACACGCAGAGAAAAAACACTATGGAATGTAATCAGAAAAGGATGCACTTCTAACACATGCATTTGTTGAAAGAAGTCAAAAAATAGAGAACTCGATAATTCCAATGTTCAGGAAATTTAAATATTTGCACATCATTGTTTAATGGATGATAGAAGCTCATCAATAACTTTGCAAGCGTCTAGATTAAATATCGATGATTTATACCTAAAGTTCATTTTTACAAATTCATTTAGATTAAAAGGATCCATAATTTGCTATTGAGTTGGATGTAGGAATTCATTTTATTATAAAAAGAATAAAGATATAATATATATATGTTTTTGGGGTAAGATTTGGTCAAGAAATTTATCTTTTCTAGAAAAGCATATAAGATAGAAATGAATTTCTCAGACAATTCAACACAAACTAATTCAATATTAAACACATTATTTGAGACTAAAATTAATCTTCTACATTAGGGTCTTAAAACATCGCATTAAATTTCGATGAAATTTTTTCCATAGTCATTTAATTTTAATTTCCTAAAAAAAGGCAATAGCCATCTCTTGGAAAAAATGCAATGACCATACACCTAATATCATATAAATATGCTATGTTTCAAAGTTTTAAATTAGAAAATAGTATTTCCCATGTATAATAATGAGTGTTTTGTATGAAAATGATTAATCTTTTCATTGATGCAAACTTTGGAAGTTCGAGAGAAAATGGAGCTCTCACAACTCTTCCAAATAATTTGCCAATTTCGATCAATCAGTGTCTAGCTTCCTTTTAAATTAGTCTGCGTTTAATACTCTACACTCACACTCTGAAGATTTTTTGTCACATGATTATCTTGCGTATTAATATAATATATCCCTCTTTTATTATTCTCTAGTATCATTCATCAACTTTAATGTTCTACTAACCGAAAAATGTTATGTCATGTGGTTCAGTAAATAAGAGCAGTTTCATGATTCAGCCAAAAATGATCCAAACAGTTTGAGTGTATGCCCAGTATTTTCATTGTTATTATTTCTATCTACACTCTTATCGTTATCTTTTTTTGTTTATGCTGAGCTTCTCTCTTATTTATCGTTCACGAACTTAAACTTTTGGGCTCATCATTCACTAATTCATAATATCAGCAAAAATAACAGTAGCAATACTTTCACTGAAGAAATTCTTTTGTCTGAAAGGTATATAAACTTGGTGAGGTAACATGCTTCTTTTTTTATAGATAGAATCAATATTGTTCGTTTTGATGCATATACAGAGTGCAATAAAAAAAAATAACCTTTTGTTTGGAAACGTCATGGACAATATGCAGAAGTAAAGAAATAAAACAATCACGTAATAATGCCCTATAAAAAAAGAGGTAAACTTTATTTATATTCATGTCATCAAGTTCAAAAACAAATCAATTCTTGAATACATTTCAGGATGTATCCATATGAAAATAGTGAAACAATTTAATTCTCAAGATAAAATAAAGAATTAAATAACAAAAATCCATATCTTGAATTTATTTCTTTTGAAAGGCTAGAGTCAAAATTTGTCTGTGAAAATTTCTAGATCCAAAAAACAAAAACGTGAAAACCATTTTAATAAAATACATCAAAATTTTATATCTTGGATTATCATGAAATAAGTTTAATACTTGAGAGTAAAGTGATACACAGTAGAACAATTTCGTTTTATCATCGCTATGGATGTGCTAAGAAAAATTGATCTTTAAAATGTTTATTTCCTAATAGAACTAGAACATGAGCAATATTAAAACATTTCAAAAGAAAACAATACCAAAATATATCACTGATAGATAGAATAAGATGTCAATCGAATGGACTTATCAATGTTGCGATAACTACCAACTTTGATTTTATTTGATATTTATGTTGTATGAATACCTTCTAAAAGTTATGTAGACTATTGCACTTTTAGACATTTTATGTTATTGTATGATTTGTCTTATTCATAAACATGTGTTCTATGAAAGAATTAAAAATCAATGAATGTTTCATATTTTTCTCATGATATTACTTTCTAAAAATAGTCGAAACAAAAAAATTTGCTGACTAGTCGATAAAGAAATTGTTAGGACTTAAAAAAAAAAGAATGACATTTGTATCTATTATCAACCGTATGTGATTTTACTATTTATCGCAAAAAAAAAAGGTTAGTTTTTAGAACCATAAGTGTACATCTGAATAATAATTTTATATTATCAAGTCACCTTTATTTTCAAATCAATAAGCAATATAAGCAGATTTATTATTGTTTTTATTCAAAAAAAAAGAAAACTTGAGTAATAAAATCAACACTTTCACAAACTTATATAATTGAATTTAAGAAAAGAACTAATAATTACTAACTGCAAAAATTTAATATAATCGGTCTTGTGGATCATTGTTATTTAATATATAATCATTATTTTGTTCGACCTTTATTTGTAATTTAAAATCTGAGAATCAAAAAAAAAAAAATAAGTCAAGCATGCATGTTCTTTTCATCGTGTCTAAATATTATTGAAGAATGGATAGAATAGAAACAAACCATAAAACAATCAATATTATTATTTTGATACGATTAGAAGATGCAGAAGAGTGACGTGCACCTTCAGTTTCTTCTTCTTCACCACCTTCGTGAGGTTCTGGTCGAAAATTTGCAAGAACTTTACGTGAATGTAATTTTTGAGGAGGTCGATAATTGAACGGAATTATATTATTAGTTAATGCACGAAGTTGATATGATGAAATAGGTACAGTTCGTGTCAGTATTGTCCAAATAACACCTTCTGTACACGGTGGAGTAGTTAATGAGCCATTATAACGATAGAAACGAGGTGATGGTGATGTTGGAAGAAGACGAGATAAATCAATTTGTTGTTCAATAGCTATTGACGTATTGACAGTACGATTGAGAGCTGATAATAAACTAGTTAAATATGGATTATCATCACGTTGGCGATCGAATAGAATACCAAGGACAGCGTACGTTCCTGTAAACGGTGCACGATGTACAAAATGTACTTCAAGAGGATATTTTCGTCCATTGATTGTATGTTCAGAACCTTGAAATTCATTATAACCCCAATGAAAATGAAATTGAACCAAATAAAAAACCTCTGATAGACCACCTCCACTCATCGATAAACGTGCCAATGGTGGTGGATAAGCAATAATTGTATGTCCATTATGCGTAAAATTCCATACTAATAAAGACATATTAGATGTGTAGCCATTGAGTAAAAGTGGAGTAAGACTTGAATCATATTTTATATGAGATGTTCGAATATCTATGGGAGATTGAGCTTCACCTTCGCATGTATCAAATAAATGATGCCATGCATCAGGCCCTTCTCGTTCATAATCCCAATGATGTCCTGGTGGATTCGTATTTTGCGAATTAATAGAATATAAAAGTGAAAGTAGACAGATAAATATCCAAAGCATAATTTCAATATCTAAGAAAAATGATGATTTAATAGTAATAGCTTTAGTGGTACATAGAGTAACGAGAGTCAGTAAAATCAATGATAAATCACGACAAACAATTGGTCTACACGTCTTTTTGTCTCAAGTATATTTAAATGGCATCGTAATTGAATGGCATTCTAAGTTACCCATGAAAGGGCATTGTGCGCAACACAATTTCATTATTTTTTGCTTTTCTAGGGAAAAAGACACAAACAACTTTGTGTGCAAGTCGAAGGTCTTCATTGTTTTTTTTCTCGACAATAATTTGAAAATTTTCAACGTAATTTATCGTATAAAAAGAAAAAAAAACAATGGAAAAAAAGATGAATTATGTCTTTTAATGTTCATTCATTACCTTTTTGTTTCTTTTCATTTTTTATTTTTAAGGTTTTAACATTTTATGATGAATTATTATCAATGCAATGGTACGAGAAGATTGTTTTAAAGTTTAACTTGAGAATTTCTGCTTCTCATTTGAAACTTGTGTTTTTACTAGTTTATCGATTGATGCACAAAAAAACATATCACCAATTATCGAGATCGAACATGACCATTTGCACTTGAAACTGAAGGATAATTTACCAACGAGACCGTTTGAGATATTTTTGTACATCAATTTGTTTCTTAATCTTTTGAAGTTCTTTGAATATAAGACTATGAATGCTCTACCTATATTGTTTAGTTCAATGAAATCGTTTATTGTGTTACTGATCTTGTTTTCCTTTTATTTTTTATTTGTATTGGAAGAATCTTCTATTCATTATGATTGCAAAAACAAAATCAATTTATTTCTATTCTCTTCTCTTACCTCGTGTTATTTGTTGCGTTATTCGTAGCATTTTCAATTCACAACTGGCATTCTCTGTTAACTGCTGATTTACAAAATAGCATAAGAAAAAAGCTAGTAATTTTTCGACATGTATGCTTTTTGATAAACAAATTAGGTAAAAATACGAATTAAAAAAAAAAGCAAAGTTCTATATGTGATTACATATTTTTTTATATATTTATTTTTTTATTATGATGATTTTGCAATTTTTTAAGAGTCTATTTGAATGAAATAATATGAGACCATAAGTGAAAGTATATTCATTTAATATTCAAAACAATAAAGATTTAAATATGAAATTTCTAGAGAAAAAAAAAACAAATTATTTTCATCAATTAAAGAATCATCATTTGTTTTACTTTATTAGAGATTCAGTACAAAAATTTAAATCTTCATTTGAATTTAAATTCATCACGCTATATCATTCAACATCATTTACCTAATGCTTTTATAGTTTATTTTATTAATTAGAATTGTTAAATGAATTCAAATCATTTTCATACATACAAATATACGCTAATAATATGAAAATACTTATGGAAATAGTAAATAAATGTTCTAACTACTACTCTCGGTTAGAAATGAAATTCTGATTTGTACAAATAGTAGAATATCTAAAATTTTCAGCCAAGAAAGATTTTCCAATGTCGAGTTTTTGAATTTTCAAGTGCATTCGATTTTTTGAAACAAAGAGCTATGTTAGAATATTGAACATTTTGACGAAGGAACGGTTTTTTTTTTTGACTGAAACTTTCAGGACATTCTAAGAGTCATTAGATCATTTGATAGGCAAAATTTTAGATCGAACATCTACTAAATCAATCATAACTTGACGATAAAAGCCTATGCAAACGAACCCTTCTAGGCTTTTGCTAGTCTCACTGAAATCTGTCTGTGAATCTAATATGAATTTAAAAAATGGATGTCAGTTCAAGTAGTTCCCACATCAGTAGTATCGGTTGAATATTTTCGTATAATGTATTTTTTCTTTCTTAATACAACTCAACAGTTTTTCATTCACACCAACTTGATTATTGTTTGCTGAAACATTCAATTTTCAAATAAAAAATCAATTACATAAATATTGATGAAATACTTGGTTTAGTTTTTCTTTCTAATTGATAGAAAATTTTTCTAGTCCAGTTTAGAGTCTCATATATCTCACATGAACGATTTCTAGACATGAAAATACAACTAGAAAATAGATAAAAGATGAAGTATATACCAGAACTAAATTGATTTTGTATCTAACATTATAAACGATTCAATATATTATCAACATGAATTGAATAAACACGAAATTATAAAGTTAATTTCCAAGTTACATGTTATGCTACTCAATAAATAACCGTCTCACAAATAAGTTGCTTTATTTACTGTAAATGAACAAAAACAACAAGATAATCGGTTCGGAACTAAACTTCGATTGTCGGATATACAGCCTTAAAAACGATCTGAGTCTGCTATATACGTTTTTTTTTCGTCGAAAACTAATGCACTGTATTATCATTGTGTTTTCATTGAATATTTGCAGATCGACAAATATGAAATTCGCATACGTTTGTAAATAACTAAGTACATTTCTTATTCTGCCGTATGATACGGTTTAGAATTACGAACGTACATCCACGTTGACAGAATATGGCTTCTATGCACAAAGAAAATAAATGAGCGTTTTTATTTTCTTAAATCATCATATTTCTTGGTATAAGATTGTTTACGGCTGTGTTGTACATAGAGATAATTACACAAAATTCTTATCTGGTTCATCTCTAGTTGTTGTTTTTTTCAATTTTAAAATAAATCTTTCGTAGAAGTCACAAGTCTAGCTAACTGTGAAAATATCATAACTGCTTTTTGAAACTTAATTTTTACAATACAGTACTAGAGAAGTCTTTTATCACGTAATAACAAACAGACGAATAGACGCAAATTTCTTGCATTTAACCCTTGAATAGATAACAACATGTTCCCTATAGAAGTCTTATTATGCTCTCGCTCTTTTTCAAATTCCTTACCTAAGAACGAATCAACCATAATTAAAATTATTTCGCTTATAAAAGATTTTGAAGTGTCGCAGATTTCTCAAAATTGTCAGTAGTTTGACAGACGCATATTTACTTAAAATGATTTTAAAAACTAGCTTTATGGCATGTTTCTGAACAGGCATGTACGCAAAGAAAAGTATGTGGCAACATTCTTGCCACGTCTAGTATTCAATCAAAACATGAGTTCATAAGAAAAGTAATAGTTTAAACATAGGTCATTCAAATATGGAAAGAATTATAATTTTTGCGTTTGTTGAGAAAAATAGACTTGATAGAAAATCGTGTTTACACACGATTATTATTATATATTTGCTTTAATAGGCTCCTTGTATTGTTTATCTTTGTATTTGTGTTGAATATAAAAGCAATTGATTTAAAACCAAGTCGATTAAACCTAACCATATTTAGCAATAAACCTTTCTACATGAATCTTTGCTCTTAATCATTATTTCTTCTCTTTTCTTTAAGTACTATTTTGTTGTCAAAACTTGAAATTTCATTTAATAAAAAAAAAACAAAATGGATATTAAAGTGGATAGTATATTATTTCATACTGTTTTTTTCTCAAATATTCAATAAATATTGCTAAAAACAATTGTTTTAATCAAGTATGCCATGACTAATATACGACAAAGTTTTAATGCGATTTTAACAATCTCAGATAGGGTACATATAAAATACATTTTTTATAAATAGGGTATCGTGATGGCTTTCCAAATTTTACATATAACACTCCATAGATAAGTGTGCTTTTTGTTGGGAGAAATACTGCATGTCAGATATTTTATTCAAAAAACAATTCGAAATATTGATTTTTTTACTAAAAATAATCTGATAAATGAAATACTTTTTGAGAAGAAAAAAAAAATCTTTGAATGAAATAATTATTATCGATTCATATTTATTGCTTATTTTCTTATTAGAAATAGTGTATTTTGATTTTCTTCAATAGTTGATCAGTTCGGATCGAACATTTATATATGTGAAAATATGTTCAGATTTTATTGTTAATAATCTATCGAAATTCGGTTTGATTTTAATGAATTGTATTCACCTATCAAAAAACAGACTGGCGAATGGTGAGTACGAGAAGGTGCAACACCGAAAAGTTAAGCGCGCACAAAAAACCAAGGTAAGACATGTGGACTTGAATTGGAATGAAGAGAAGACTAAGAATTTACCTAAATTATTTGACCTGTTTTTTGCATAAATGAAACAAAAGGTCCTTATCTACTAGCCGACATACCACGACATTTTTCCATCGATAGAACATTGAAGTTGAAGAATGATACTAGAGATTTTCAAAAGAAAGATATCGGTAAATGTTGCTAAACTACATGCTAAAGTCAACCAAAGAACTCAAATTCAATGAATTTGACTTTTTTTTTCAGTTTTCTTTCAATCTTTTATTAAACTAAACAGTTTATTTGGTTGTTCTCTATTTGACTATCGAAGAAAGACATCTTTCTATATGTATGACGTGACAGTTAATTGATATAGTTTATGATCAATGAGATACATTTGAAATATTGAATTTCCGTTACGACGTGTCGATTCATGTCTAGAGAAGACTAACACTCATATCTTTAAACATTAATTGACCTTTCAATAGACATCATATTTACCTTCATGTTTTTGAATACTTAACTTTTTGATGTTGAACGTTCTCGTGCTTATCCTTTCCCTAATCATCATGCTCTTTGTTCATCGTTCCACTTTCCCATTCTGATAGTATATGTTAACAAAAAAGGAAGTGGTTAGAATATAAAATCTTGTGTGATTTCTACAAGCATACGATTCATTGTGCATACAACAAAAACAAAACTTCAAATGGAGGCATAAAGCGTGTATTGCAGATATACATTTTTTTTCATGGAAAGTAAAATGAGGTACTTATTGTATTGAGGTGTCTGATCTTAGTCATTCAATCATTAAACTTTTTATTTTTTTAAGAAAAATATTTCTTAGGCTTCTTTGATATTTTCAAAAAAAAATACAATCATCTATTAAACTCGGTTTTTGTTTGTTATTCGTTTAGTCAGAGTTGATTAGGTACACACTGTAATATTTTGTAAATGTTCGTCAAACATATCGTTCGTCATAAAGACTAATAAACCAGAGACCGAAACGGGGCGGGGAATCGAGGCAGGGCCCCGGGGCGGGGAGCTTTTTTATTGGACGGGGCGGGGGCGGGGAGAGAATTTGAGAAGAAAAGCGAGGCGAGCGGGGAAGCCAAACGAAAATTAGTCGGGGCGGGGCGGGGACGGGGCGACCAGAAATATTTTAAGTCGGGGTGAGGCGGGGCGGGGCCTGGAAGAATGATGTAGAGTTCCGTAAAACTTTCTTATTTTTCGATTTTACACCGGAGATTCATATGTGCGAAAACGAAAAGTCGGGGTGGGACGGGGAAGCAAAATAAAATGAAGAACGGGGCGGGGCGGGGTCGAGGAAGCAAAAAGATATAGAGCGGGGCGGGGCGGGGGCGGGGAAGAAAAAAAATAACGAGCGGGGCGAGGCGAGGTCGGAGAGAGAAAGTTTCCGACGGGGCGGGGCGGGGAGTAAAAAATCCGCCCCGTTTCGGTCTCTGTAATAAACAGATGTACTATGTTCTCAGACATTACTCATCCTTATTTTTTTCTTCTATCTTTCAATCAACAAACGTCTATAGAACAAAAAAAAACTTGATATTTATTTAACGTATGCTTCTTCGACATGAGTGCAATATTATTAATACAGAAATCAATAAAGGCACATGTTTATTCTTAAATATGATTTTTGTCATCGTTAGAAAATTTTAGTCAGCATTGTTAAAAGTTTTATCAAAAATAAAATAAATTGCCGCAAATGATATTAATTTAATAAGCAAAAAAGAACAGTTATTGAATAATTCAAATCCAAATATGATTAAATCAATTTGGGGACAAATTCTGTATTTTTTTAATATTTAAATTAACGTTCATTTTTAAATCGTTGTCACCGTATTAAATAGATACAAAAAGAATATTTCTCTTCGCTATATACAAACACCAAAAATTGATATTTAGTTCAAAATTTAAGTCAATTTTAGATCATTAATTATTTCTTGAAAAAGGAAAATTAAATTATCTAAACCAATAAGATAACCATCTTCATGTGTACCACGTACCCATGGTTTTGAATGTGTTATATGAATCTCAGCGGGTAATAATCGAGTTTTACCAAAATCGATCATCCATATTGATGCTCGAGTTGTATCATGAATAAATAATAATGATGAACCAATTAACTTTTAAATTAAAAACAAATATAGTTATTCTTTGTTTAAGAAATGATAATAATTAAACAAACCTCATGAGTTTTAAAGAATTTTGAACGAAAACAAGTCGAACGTAATTGAATCAGACGATTGAGATATTGAGTCTAAAAAATAAAAATAAATAAATTTATAATAAAGGAAAAATTAATATTTACAGCACGTGATATTGAATTAGCAATAAATTCTGTTAAATGTTTTCGTACATCAGTTCGTTCTTTAATTCTTTGAAATTCTTTTGACATGAGACCACGTGATTTCTATGTATTAAATTAATTTTCAGCATAAAAAAAAAAAGTTCTTTATCTATACTTTAATAGCTTCAATACGAAAACCTAAATCTTGACTTGAACTTAAACTTTCACGCCAAATCATATAACGTGGTTTAAGCACTTTTTTTTCTTCATTTTCTTTTTCTGTTGGTGCTGTTGGATCAATAGCAATCATCTTCTCATATAGATCCTTGACAAAAAAAGAAACAAAGCACAATAAAATCTTTATTTAAAAAAATAAATATATTTTTTTTATACAGCTCTTGGTTCTGGATCACGTTCTGATTTATCAAGATCTTCTTCTAAATAAGTTCGTACACCTATTTTACAATCCATTATACATGGATCTTGAAAAGAAGCTAATAAATCTTCCATTTCAATATAATCTTAAAAGAAAAAGAAATGTTAATTAGTTTTGCTTAATTAATTGTTCTTTCTTACGTTTTCCTTCTTCATCAGTAACAGTTCCATTATATTTTGGAACAAAATCTTTTAAAAGATCATTTTGAAGTAATTCACAACACTGTTGTTCTTGTTCAAATAATTCTTTCAAAATATAACCCTCATGAAGACCTTCTTTGAATGTTCCTTTAGGAAAAAAGATAGTAAATTATCAATGCTAAATAAAATTAAAAAAAGAAACAAAATATTTTACCTGGATGACCTACTAATTGTATCCACTCATATTGTCCTTGTTTTGTTCGAGTGAATGTAAGTAAAGAAGTAACTACTTTTGAAAAAGCTTTCCAATTTGGAGTACTCTAGAGTATCAATAAAAACTCAACAAAACAATAGAATAGTTGTTTTTCTTTAATTACTATTCGAATTCGTTCATCAAAATATTTTGGATCAATTGGTGATGATGCAGCAGATCTCAATTCATCACTATTCAAACCTTGCCAAATACCACGTAAAGTATTTTTTAATGATCTACCATGATGTGTAGGAGAAGAACTTGGTGAGATTCTATATTGATTATCTTGTGGTACACATAAATATTCTTTTGATGTTTCTGATATAGATGATGTCTGTGTTGGATTATTATTATTATCTAATATTAAATCCAAATGACTAGGTCGACGTTGAACTTCATCATCTTCTATTAGTATTGGAGATGATTGTGTAGCTACATCACGTAGAACTTTGGGTTTTATCAAATTAGATCGTCGAGAAACATGTGTTGAACTTGATGAAAGACTAGGTCTTGAATTAGCTGAAGGAGAACGAGAACGTGATGATCGTATAGATTCTTCTGTCGTTGAATAAGCACGTATTTTAGTGGCAGCTGAGGCTGTAGATGTAACTGTAGGTACACTAAGTTGTATGGCAGCATCAAAAAGTACACTTCGAATAGAATTACAGTTATTATTATCGGCAGAATACATGGTTTATCTGAAAATGAAACAAACAATGACAATGTCATTTTTTTGTACAGAAAATAGTAGCACCTGTATGAAAATCAAACCTTTGTTGAAAGTTGTCTATTGTGTTTCGTCTTAAAGACAAACAAAACGCCACACTATTTAGTACGCCAACCCTTCTGTCTTTCTTTTCTTTTTTTTCTTTTCTGTTTCGCTGCACACACACACACACACACAGACATATATAAATGCACACCCATTCGATTCACGAATGAGTGAAAGAATGAATAACTTCACTCGTCTTACTCCCTTTCGTTTTTTTTCTGACTCTCTGTCTATCCTTGTATATAACAACTACACCTACAAACTCAATACTATTTTTTGATTTACCATTTCGTATATTTTAATCGTTTGTCAGTTTCTTTTTCCTTGTTCTTCTCATTTTTTCTTTTTATAATGTTGGAGCAGCAGCTGTATGCACTAATAATGACGACAATGGGAATAAGAATCCTTGAACGAATACATAAAAAAAGCGAGAGGTCAAAGTTAAATGATTCAATCAAAAATTATTTAGAAAACAAAACACTCTAATAATTAATTTTTATAATTGCTAACTCAACATTTATACTGAATGTGATAGCAAGTATTACTAAAAGTCATCAGTAATATTGACAAAATTAGAATATATAAAATGATTAATTGTGCTTCTCTAACTATGAAGTTTATCTCAAAATACAACTTTACTTTCGAAGAGTGTAATAAAATATAATATAATACTTTACATTACATGACATAAGATGAAAATTTATTGTAATCTACAAGTAAATTGAGAGGTAATAAAAACAGCAAACCTTCAATTTTTTCCTTCTTCGTTATGTTGATTTATTTGAAGTAGTTCGACAATATGATCGTATTACTTTCGTTATGAGAAAATAAATATTCTCAGATTAATTGCATCAATGACGGGGGAAATGAAGCTTCTACTGTGTTTACAACATTCGTTTTTTTTTCGAAAACATCTTGTTTTGAATGTGTCAGTGTTTAAATATAGATGAGAAGCCAATTACTGAAGCATTGATAATGTTTTTTAACAAGCAGCCATAACGTTTTGAATTGTTTGATAAGAATGAAAGGAAAAAAAAAAGATTTTTGAGTTTGACGTCAGCAACTTTTCTTTTATTAACATACTTATATACACATATTTAAAGTTTTAGTGGTAATATATATCAAATATCTTTTGAAATATTACAAAATATATTTATAATTATAATGTATGTCAGAGTCTCGTGTCATTTTTTATTTTCAATTTATTTACTATAATTAAAGAACTTCAATTTAATAGGATTATTTACCTGTATATCAAAAATTACGTACTACATATATAAATACATAAGTCTGTTTAGTATAAGAAATGCTTGAATATGTAATACAATGAAAAAATTTCACATTAGTACTGACAGAAAATTCACCTGATAGTAAAAAGTAAAATATTGTTATTATAAGAGTTCATAAAAAATGATGATAATCTCATGAGCATGGACACTCTTTATATAGATCTGATTTAAATGTATTACTACGATGATTATAAGAATGCTTATTGCTCCTTTCTCTTGGCTCATACCATTGATTATTCATAACTGTAGCTAAAATTTATTTCGTGAGTAGTAAGTGCTACCTCATCAGAGGAATGAATCTAGCACCTGAACATCAAATTTTAACACAAGGTGTTGAAAACATGCTAAAAGTGTTGTGGTGTTAATGCATATTTGACATTAGAATTTAGATGATAGCTTTTGATGAGAGTCATACTATTTCAATTCGATTTGTTCAACGAAGACAAACCTATTGTTCGAAAATTGTGGTTTTTTTAAATAACACTTGAGTAAGAATTTCTAGGATCGAGGAATTGAAAATCTCTAATAAGTTTTTCAAAATTCTTAAATTCGATATTTTTAGTCAGAAGTAATTTATTTCAAACAAATAGTCGAATGTTATGAGACATGAGTAAACTACAGAAAATAGGTTTTCACGGAAAAAAAGATCGAACTCGAGAATTTCGAAAACCAATTAGAGATCCGAATTCCTCAACATCGGAAGCCTTGAGTCAAACTTTATAAAAAAAAAACTCATGATTTTTGAAAAATAGTCTTCTCTTAATTGAAAAAATCGAATCCTAATAGCATGACTCTCATTCATACCTATCAATTTAATTTCCAGTCTATTTCCAAGTATGTAAGAACAGTGCATCACCTTCATTACTAAGGGGTGCTAAGGGTTCCAAATCTCTATTTCTCTCTCTTGTCTCATCCTACTTATCCAAACGTGAAACGGTACGTTTTGGTTCTTGAGAGTTAGACAATGCTATCCAAAACAAGCATGCCATTCCACTCATAGTAAATATGATTCGAAGTTCCTACTTGCATCCATACAAAATCAAGTTGCCGTTGCTCAAATTCCTTTAGAATCGAAGAAACGAGATAAATACTTTTTCATTATAATAAAATACTATCAATTTGAATTGAAATGTACAAACAAGAACAGTGAATGAATAATAAATGTCCTAGACAAAATTGAACTTATACAGAATATGTTTTTAGTTAATGGCAAAGCTACGAAATAGTCTTCAGTTTTTTATTAACTAGACAGAATATGCATTTGCATTTATTTATATTGTAATCAATTCATTAAATGATTCCTTCTGCGTAGACATCAAAAAACGATTTTCGAAAGTATTTTTATGAATAAGTAAATCAACATTTTAAATTTTGGAGTATTAAATTCTGAGAGAAACTAGTTATTATTCTATCACGAGGAATATATAAATTAAAAAATTCCTCATTTTTTTATGGTTGGAATATAACTAACCAAAACTTAACAACGTATATCTCTGAACAAAAGTCTTTGCCTCTCTCTCCTTTTTTTTTTTTATTAAACTTTTAATATTTGTTTTGTTTTTATTATCGAACTAATGAATAACAAAATAAAAGTGCTAAACAATAGTCATTTTTGCTTATAATTTTATTATTCGATGACTTGGATAACACAAATCTTATGTAACAATTGTTAATGTGTGAAGTATGGATCGATATTGAGAATAGGTTTTTTCATCATTCTTTCGAAAAATTTGAAACATCCATGGAATTCTCAAATGGCAAAAAAAGTTATTTAGATGTATATTGGGTGTGACACAAGCTATGCGGCATTGACTTACCACATGGCAACAAAATGAGGACTTGTGTAATATATCAGGAACTGACTGATTGTGTGTCACTTTTAAAACAATAGATACAAGAATTGTTCATATTACCAAACAGGAGCTGAAGGTTACATCAAACGATATTTCAAAAATTTAAAACTGAAAAATGTCCTTACTCAAAGACAAAGATCGTGAGCGACGACTCATCTGTGCTCGGCAATATCAACATTTCAATGGGGACAACTTGTTTTTTGTGTACTCAAAAAGTGAGTACACTCTAGAATCGGTCAGTGTGTCCGGCCGTTAACACGATAACTTTTGAAAGGAGAGTCCGATCACGATGAAATTTTCTACACAGTTCAGTCTTAACAATGTCTCGGTCGAGTTCGAAGATGAGAAGGATTGGCCGAGCCGTTTCTGAGTTATTGCAAAAATACTCATTTTTTCATATGGCTTCCTATAGGAAAATCGACCTATCCCCACTTTCGTAAAACACTTTTCCTATCACAGTCAACTAAAACCACAACTATCATATACCATTCGATAGAGAATTTCACGAGCTACAAAATGGTATATAGAACATTAAGAAACAAGAAGGCTAGCTCACCTATTACAAAGATAAACAAAGGGAAATCGGTTCTGGTTTTGTCTGCGCTCTAATCGATCCATAAGGAGAGCTCTATCTTCTGATCATAGAGATGATAGCTCCAGGTTTTTTCGGACGGAGAACTCGAATCTGTACTTTACTGGCCTCGAAGCCTCATTGGTTGAACACTGACCAATAGAAATCAAGTTATAGGGAAAACGTCTTTCTGAGGGTAAATCAAGGCGAAGAGTCCCAATCTGAGCTGTATTCACCCTGAAATCCTATTGGCTGAGCAGTGGCCAATAGAATTCAAGTGTTTATAGAAAAGGTGTGCCAGGTTGATTTTTATATCCACACATTGTAGGATGACCGATTTGTGTCATTCACTTTTTGAAGTACACATAACTCTCGGATTTAAATCCGAGGTTTCCACATTTATTTACCGGTAAAAACACATCCAAACCTGGCAATATCGGAAGAAAAGTTTGACGGTTGCAAGGTGTCGCTTAAATTGTTTGTGCAGTTTAAATACTCTCTCAAATTTCACGTTTGCAGATGCGTTTCAAAACAGTTTTGGACAATTAATTACGTTCAAACCCAATTTGAAGAGAAGCTTTATATGCATCAAATATGAGAATGGTCTTCTGCTTACTGCTCATCGTCGATTTCCTGAATGGATCATCCAAGAGAACAAATAATCTTGAATTTAGATGCCGACTGGAACAGTGGCAATCGAATTCAGGTTTCATCTTGGCCCGCTTCTTTACCAGACCAAAACTCAATTGAAAACTTTTGGCCAATGATGGAGAATACAATAAGTCAATAAAGTTTTTAAAAACCCAGAGATTGGAATAAGAAATTAGGAAGACATGTAGGATTCTGTTGACTGACTTGACTGTTAGATTGGTCGATAGTATGACAAGACAAGAACAGTGACTGATTGAAGCAAATGGTGACTATATATCTTGTTAAAATTAGTTCGAGAATCAAGAGAAACCAAACATAAAATATTTAAAAAGAAAGGAGATGGAGACACTTCACTAGTCGACGATCTTGACATCGTTCTTTCCAGATTCTTATTTTTCTTGGTTATCAGGTAAGATTCTTTTGCCATTCCTTCTACACAAGATTCTTGCCTGAAAAAACAGATCTTGAACTTCTGACAAGATTCGTGTAGACCGAATCTTGCCTGGCGAGGCAAGAAATGCTACGCCAGACAAGATTCTTGTGTTCTTGTATTCT